GAAGGACTGCAGCTAGCCTTCTAGTCTATAGGTCTACGGATCGAATCCTGGCTACCTATAGACCTACGACAGACCTACCTACCACTGGCGGTTCTACAGGTCGCAGGTTCAACTCTTCGAGTTGACGCAGGTATTGTACACAGGTAAGTTGGGGAACTAGGGATCGAGCCCTGAGATCTACCTCAGCTACCACGAATTGGTGAATACCGTTTCAGGAGGTATGATCCTGCTTATTTTTCCTCAGATCTTCAGCTGATATTTTATCTGTTCTCTTAGTGATGCTCGTTTGTATGCATTTATTAGTACAGAAGAGGAGGGAGGATGGAAAGGGGTAGGAGGTGGAGTTCTATAGAAAGTGAGGCAAGGGAGTGGGGGGAGGGGAAGAGGAGGGATGTGGATGGGGCAAAGAATAGAACGGAGGAATGACAAACTTCACAGGGTTCTCAATAGTCACTGCTGGAGCAGAGTACTCTAGAATGACACAAGAAGCCAGTCAGTGTTTGGGTTGCAGGGAATTTTGAGTAGAGGAGCAGCCGTTGCCTATGATAAGTGGCCACCGCTACACACCGGATAGGACCAGTTCGGGTGTGGACTGTGGAAGCACCGCTTCCAATTCTTGTAGTTGCAGTTGCTGCATCGAATGGCACAGCGTAATCAGAACGCACAGGGTACGTGGCTCCTTCATGCTAGGACACAAAGGCACGTTGACCGCAATTGTAGAGGCATAACCGTTCCAGACCCTGCCTACGAATAGGACATGACATGGGTGCGTGCGTGTTTGATGAGGACAGGTGGCTACCACGTCGCTAATTGCGGCGAGCTGCATTTTTAAGAGCATGAACTGATCTACATCGTATGATAAAACAAAGGATACATCCCAAACGAGAAAGCCAGCACCTCCATCTTTCAGCCAACCTACAACAGCAACACGACCAGAGCCGGGAGGCACTGGGCCGCAAGACAGTTAGGGAAAAGGCAAAAAGCAACGCGCTGAATGCAGCAGCATAAAAACAGTGAGAGGGAGCTAACAGCAGCAAGGCAAAGGTTGGACAAGAAGAGCAAGGCAACAAACAGCCAACTGACCAGGTAAACAGGAAGGGAAAATAAAGAAGTCGAGACAAAAGCAGTAAATTAAAACATAGCGAAGGGTAAAGGGTGGCGAGGTGACGAGGCATTGAACGGCAATTAGTTCGCCAAGCACATAGGTTAGTTGGCAAGGGGGGAGCCGTGTGGGCAAGCAAGCAAGCAGCACCAAGAAGGTGGAGAAAGACAACACCAAGCATAAGAGCCTGAAAAAAAAAATCAAGAACAAAACATTGAAGAGGGGAAAAAAAAAAACAAAAAAAAAACCTGATGATAAGTTGATAACGAGATTGTTTCATTGGAGTTGCACCGACTCGTCAGAAGGCTCAAACCTCAACAATCTGCTGAATCCCTGTATTGATGGTTTGAGTCATGAACCCTTTGACCCTTGTTGGAAGCAGACTGTCCACAAATGGAACACAGCAGCGGGCAGCAACGCGGCGAAGCACAAGGCATTGCTGCCGAGGCAACATGACTGCACAATGCCAAAAAGAGCTGCAAGGAATGACAGGACAGGTGGTCGAGCAGCACGGCAACAGCAAAGCAAAGCACAAGGCAACACAAACACAGCAGCCACGGTACATGTCACACAAGCAAGGAACACAGAAGGCAAGACATGTGGATGGGCAGCAAGGCAGCAGCGCGGCGAAGCACAAAGCAACACAAACACAGCAGCCACACTACACGGCGCACAAGCAAGGAACACAGAAGAAGGCAAGGCACGTGGATGGCAGCAAGGCAGCAGTGCAGCAAAGCACAGGGCAACACCAACATCGCAGCCACACCACACAGTGAACACAACAGCTTGCCAACAACGATATGTGACGCGGGCAGCAAGGCAACAGCGGAGCGCAGACAAGGCAGTCTACACATCCAACACAGAGCAAAGCGGCACATCGCCTTCTCACATCATGAGGAAAACCTGCAGACTGTAGCTTCTCACCACCCCGCTGAAGTCACTCAGACGAATATCCGTCACCACCTACAGGAAACACAGACATCCTGAACTGAGAACCCCCCGTAAGAGTGCTGCAGGCACTCCAAACAAGGAATGACCGGCTGATTGGCACTGCTTATAGGTGCTCAGCAGGACACACAAAAGTAAGAAAAAATACTAGGAGAACAGACAGGAAAAACAGGAGCAAAGCGGCACATCGCCTTCTCACATCATGAGGAAAACCCGCAGACTGTAGCTTCTCACCACCCCGCTGAAGTCAGTCAGACGAATATCCGTCACCACCTACAGGGAACACAGACATCCTGAACTGAGACCCCCCCCCGTAAGAGTGCTGCAGGCACTCCAAACAAGGAATGACTGACTGATTGGCACTGCTTATAGGTGCTCAGCAGGACACACAAAAGGAAGAAAAAATACTAGGAGAACAGACAGGAAAAACAGGAAGAAGGCCGCACAGAAAATAGAATGACATACTTAGAACTGAGTAACTGAGTGTGTGTGTGTGTGTGTGTGCGGGGGCGTTTTTTTTTTTAATTATGTGTTGTAGATGTCCCTGAGAAGCCTACCTGGTGACAATTCTTTCTCTTAGGAGGCATGAGCGTGGCCGCTTTTGAGACCAGGATTGTGCTTTGTAAGTGTCAACTTGGCATCAGTGGGGTATGGTCCTTAGCCTCTGACGAGGTGACGGAGGCTAACCAAGGTCAGTCGCTTGAGGAGGGTTTTGTCATTGCTTTTCCAAGCACAAGTTGCTGCCACGACGCGGCTTGAATTCTCTACAACTAAAGAAGTGTGCTATAGTTTAAAATTTAAATGGTTTAGGCCATGGCTTGCTTGTCTGCGTCCCTGTTGTACGATTGAAAGGGTGTTGCCGAGCAATCCTTCTCTGGTACAGGGTCTATCAAGCTTTTCTGAAAATGTGGTCATCATAAGTTCGTCCTTAACCCAGGTTTATTATTATTCGAAAGTTAAAAGTTAAAATTTAATTTAAATTTTGTTTGTTTTTCTCTTTGTTTTGTTCTCTTTTTCGTGAAGAAACACACTTAACCTTGGAGGAGGAAATCCGGAAAAGTGATCCTGAATAACCAATCGATGGGAGAAGCAAGAAGGGGTGGCTGGTGGCTTTGTATCTTTGGCAGAGGGGTTTTAAACTTCTAGTACGTTAAAAAAATTCTCTCCTAAGGAGTTTTTGTAGGGAGCCTCAGATGAGAGCTCACTTCATGAGCCCTAGGGCGAGCGGTTTGAGGATTGCTGTTCTTGCTTTTCGATTGTGCTTGAACTATTGCCTCTGCCTCACTTAGTGTGTTTGCTACTGTTTGGCAGGTCCATACAGAAGAAGAGATGGATAGAGTGTTAGCGTTGGGTGGTGTGGAGCTGATTGGCATAAATAACCGCGATCTTGGTGAGCTTTGTCAGACTTGTGCAGTTTTTACTGCACCGTTTTCTTTTTTTCTGGGGATGGTCACCTTTGAATGTTGTCCCCGGTTTTCTTCCTCGTGCAATCTATGTGAACATAAGAAACTTATACTCAGATTCTGCGCAACAATGCCATAAATAGGCATGTCCGTCTTATACACGGCAAAAACACAGCTCTCTCTCTCTCTCTCTCTCTCTCTCTCTCTCTCTCTCTCTCTCTCTCTCTCTCTCTCTCTCTCTCTCTCTCTGTGTGTGTGTGTGTGTGTGTGTGTGTNCTCTCTCTCTCTCTCTCTCTCTCTCTCTCTCTCTCTCTCTCTCTCTCTCTCTCTCTCTGTGTGTGTGTGTGTGTGTGTGTGTGTGTTACATGCTGAGCCTGCACACGTGCCCCATTTTGGGGGCCTGACGGTTGCTGGGGGTCCCCAGGCCACACACCCTTCGGACATGTGCCCTGGAGGCCCATGGCCGGCCTTAGGGCCGCAGGATTTGATTTGAGGCAGCATTCATTTATTTTAAATTATTTATTTATTTATTTGCTGTCCTATTTTTGTTTGTTCAGGCATCGTTTCAGACTTACTCAGTTCTTATGAACAGACTTTTGGTCTGTTCGGACAAGGCCACGTTTTTGGCCTGGTACGGACGTAGGCAGGCCCTGTTGGGCCAGGTCCACTTTTGGCGGACACTCCCTGCTGCATCAGCAGGGAGGGCCTGGACGTCCGGTAGGGACCCAGGCAGGCCGTTTTAGGCCTAGGACCAGAGGCACACTGAGGCACACCCGCAAGGCCCAGCGCTAGTTCTAGCTGGGCCAGGCCAGGGCAGACACACAGTTTGAGTAGCTCACTTCTTGGGTGACACGCTGCTGGAGCAGCGCGACACAGCGCTGCGCTAGGTGCAGAGGCGTAGGTAGGAGGTGAGGTGGCGGCCATACCTGCGAGGCGGTACTTACCTGGGCGCCATAGGGGGACTCCATGCCAGAGACCTGCACAGAGAGACACACTGGCGGCAGTTAGTACATGGCAGCAGTTACCTGTAGATGAGACAGCGAGGAGGACGGCATCTTCTTCTTCTTCTTAGTCTCACCTTCCATCTCTTCTTCCTCCTTCCTTCTTCTTCTTCTCCTTCTTCTTCTTCTTCTTCCAGGGAGAGAGAGAGAGAGGTTAGAGGCAGAGGTTACATTGGGCCATGAGGCCCAGGATGTGATTCGACAGTTTGTGGCAGACATTGATTGGACATTCGGCATGGAGACTATTTTTGGACTTCGCTATCGCGATCTTGGTCTTCTCCCTCACCTCCATCTTCGTCTCGCCTCCCCCCCCCATCTCCTCATCCGTGGTATGTCCCCATGTGCGTGCTCAAGGAGGGACCTTTCTTCCATGTATGCGGTCCCTCCCCTCTCTCTCACATGTGTGGTGTATGATGGGGTGTTGCATCAGTATCTGACAGGTCAGGTCATATCTTCGAGTCTTCCGTTGCGCTACATTATGCTATTTTCGTATGTATCTGGATGTACATTGCTTGTGGATGCTTTGCTGACGCTGCATTGTCCAAGCGAGTCCTTTTTCTCCCTCTCTCTCTCTCTCTCTCTCTCTCTCTCTCTCTCTCTCTCT